TCTGTTCTCACTGGACAGTAGATGCATGTACTCCACGGCGTGTTAACCGGGGATGACTGAGTCTGTTCTTACTGGACAGTAGATGCATGTACTCCACGGCGGTGTTAACCGGGGATCACTGAGTCTGTTCTTACTGGACAGTAGATAGATGCATGTACTCCATGGCGTGTTAACCAGGGATGACTGAGTCTGTTCTCACTGGACAGTAGATAGATGCATGTACTCCACGGCGTGTTAACCGGGGATGACTGAGTCTGTTCTCACTGGACAGTAGATGCATGTACTCCACGGCTTGTTAACCAGGGATGCTTAGAAGATGGTGAAAGATATCCTTGTGTTGGGGGACAGGAGTGAAGGATTTTGTGATGTGTACTTAAAATGTTCAGACTTTTTCTTACCCAATGTGATCACCAGTTTATAATTTCTTACTTCCTTCTTTTCCTTAAGTAGATTATTTTAGTTACTGATGTCTGAAAAGAGCTCCTTCTGACTTAGAACCAAATATGAGTTGTATTATTATAAACTACACAAATGGTAGTTGACTGTCTTACAAAATACTGTTGTAATGAAAGTATGTGGTATCCTTTATTTCTCTCTCTCTCTCTCTTACTAGATATACTTGTTAATAATGCCATGGTAAATAAAATCCTGTCCAGCTTCAAGGAGTTTATTATTATTGTTTGCTGCAGTTATTATATTTCTTATTAGTGAAAATGCCCATGTCCGTGTTTTTTTATTTGCAGCTGGTTTTCGAAGAAGCTTCCGTCTTAGTAGGAAGGATAAGAAGACCAATAAGTCCATGTATGAATGCAAGAAGAGTGACCAGTATGACACAGCTGATGTGCCCACCTACGAGGAAGTGACCCCATACCAGCGGCAGACCAATGAGAAATACAGACTTGTGGTCTTGGTTGGTAAGTGCTTTTGGGTGCAATGCTGGGGAAATCAGTAAAATAGTAACAAATGAACACCAAAGTGCATTATCTTTAAACTTTTCTAGTTGAAAGATTCCTTTATCTTGAACCAATTTTTGTTTCTAAAATGAAGCCTACTTCATTTTAAATTTTTTAACTTATATGACATTTAACAAGTCTTTGAAGAATGATCTCAGCATGTTAGTGGAACCTCTGAAGGAGAGGCGATCACAGCCACCAGTACAGGGAGGCTTTTCTTTCAGTTTGGAACATTGAAGCTGAATCATGGAGTAAGCATACCTGGAGTGCTTAGACCTTCAGGGACACACACCACTGGCTCCTAGTTTAGGGACGTGGGTCTGTTTAAAGCTGGGGAGTCAGCTAACACAGTAACTCTCACAAAGTTAGTTCATACAGGTGGGTATTTCCACAAACACCGGCTGATTCCATCCCATTCCTGCACCCATGGAGCCCGGCGTCACCCCCAGGAGCAGCCACTACCTCAACGTTCGTCCTCCCAGCCCTCCTCCGTGACGCATTTGAAATGCGGGAACAGGTATCTGCACTCCCAGGAATAAAGCGGACGACTTTCTGAAAGGCTTATAGGAATAAGGGCAGGGTACGCCTTGGTACTTGTGCTTTATAAACTGGAGATGACACTTGGGGGGAAGAGAGTAAACGGTAAGCCAAAGAATCGCCCCTGCTGTGAGGCGGACTCCTTCGAAAGCTTGCAACTCTTGCTGTTAATTCACACAGAAGCTGGAAAGCCAGGTTGCCTCTCACGTTGGAAGTTACTGTTGATGGCATCAGATACTAAACTTGTTTTCATTCTTTAAAAATTGAGATTCACATACTTTAAAACGTGTATGAGTTATGCATTTCTCCTAATTCACATATAGTGAATTCTTCTTCCCTCAGCCATACATGGATGAATATCCCCCATAGTTTTTTGCTTATTTGTTTGTTTGCTAAAGAACTTAGTTGAACCAAGTTACTATCAAGTCTTTTCACTCTAATATGAGGTTACCCGTGTTAGAAAGAAAGGAGCCCTGGTGGTGTAGTGGTTACACACCGGGCTGTGATCCGCATGGTCAGCAGTTCAAAACCACCAGCAGCTCTACGGGAGAAAGACTGGGCTTTCAACTCCAGTAAAGCTACAGTCTTGGAAACCCACAGTGGGTCACTACGAGTCAGCATTGACTCCATGGCAGTGCGTCTGGTTTGGGTTAAATGCTAATCCAGTCAAACCTGAGAACGCTGGAGACCGTGAGCTAGAAACCTCTCCGAGAGGAAAACTCACATGTTGTCCCTAAAATGAGTGTTAGAGAACCGCTCCACCTGTTCCCAGTTAAAAGCAGGAAACTGGGTGCCGTCACGTGGGTCCCCTGTAGGTCCCGATGCTGAGTGAAACTCACCAATCACACTGGCATGACGTGTTTGAGAAATCTGTTACAAAAAGTCAAGAAAAGGTACACCCCCCCCAAAAAAAACCCCACCCCCGAATATTCCCAGGTGTGGATCAGAAGGAAGAAGCGGGCGAATCACTAACTGGAGTCACGGTCGGCAAAGCGCGGCTCTCGAGCCATGTGTGGCTCCCTTGGTATGGACGTGTGGCTTCGAAGTCAAATTGAAAAATTCTAAAGGATCTTATTCAGTTAATGGCGATTTCATTTGTTTGTAAAATGTGTTTATGGCTTTCAAATAATTTTCAAATTGTTTTGAGGGTTAGGATTGGCTCTTCCATTTCAAAAGTTTGGCGACCCCTGAATTATAGAGGATACATAGGTATTAACTTGGGCAAAGGGAAAAGCAATATGCGATGAGGGGCATGTCAGTACAAAATGAACACCAGAAACCATGGGGAAGGGAGACAGCAGTCGGAGTAAGATAGGAGAATAATCTATAATTTATGAAGGGGTCATGCGGGTAGGGTGGGGAGGGAAAAAAGAGGAGCTGACACCAAGGGCTCAATAGAAAGTAACTGTCTAAAAAATAATGATGGCAACATATGTACAGATATGCTTGATACAGTTGATGTATGGATTGTTATAAGAGCTGTAAGAGCCCCCAATAAAATGATCTTTTAATAATAATTTTAAAAATGATCAAGGCCAAGAAAGCTGCTGGGAGAAGTAGAAGTTAAAGGCAGCCAAGGCAGATACTGCACACACGATCATGCCGTAGCATTAATGACGTTAACTCAGGAGTCACCTGGACAGGTGGGAGAAGGTGACTGGGACTGAGGCAGGCATGTGGTGTATGTACTGAAAGTACATCCATGAATGTAATAGATAGAGCCGATAGGGTGCAAAGTTATACAACCTGCTTAGCCATAACCAAGCACCTTGAGGAGGGATGAGTCACCAAGCCCAGGGGCTTCAATACCGAGGTCATGGGAGACACGAAGGTCAAGTGGCACAGTGTAGTCCACAGAGACAGTTTCCCACCTCCTGCTCTGGCGAGTATTGACTGGGATCCTCTGAAGTTCGCCTTTAGGTAAATGCTCTCCTTTTGATCACAAATGATTGATCCTTCTAAGACTAGAGTGAGTTCACATTCAGACCAGAAAGGTGATGAAGGACCATAGGTTTGAGAGTCCCACCAATCTCTAGCTGACCAATAATTCTAGCCTCTTTAAAGATTTGGAGTCTTAGTCCACATTTTTCTCCCATCTACCCAGAACCTTCCATTGTGATCCTTTTCAGACCAGTTGACAGTGGCCCCATTTAGTTCGTCTAGTTTATGGGTTGAAGAAACTGATTATTTTGCATGGTCTGTTGGACTGAACATTTCCATATGTCTTTGGTTTTCATCATTCTCCTTTCCTCCGGATGGGAGATACCAATAGACCTTTGATGGCCACCCCTGAGCATTTAAGACCCCAGGTACTGCTCACCAAAGTCGGATGTAGAACATGGTCTTTGTGAACTATGTTATGCCAATTGTCCTTCGTGTCCCCAGTGCCCCTGGCCCAGCAACTCATCCCCTCAAGGTGTTATGTCTAAGAAGTATCATCACCTGGTCCCCTGTGTGGTCCAGTGCATTTAGGATGTATTTGCAGCAAGGGTCATTATACATATCAAATATCCTCTGTCACATCTATATGTAGTCAGGGCACGCTCACATTCTCTCCCAGCTGCTCATCCTGGGTGTCTCTACAGTGACCTACTCATAGATCACAACTGCTGCAGAGTGGTGTGTATGCCCATGTTTGCCTCCATTTGTTGCCCTTCACCTAGTATGTGCCTCCCAGTGCCTTTCCCCACCCCCATCATTTTTTGCCAGCCTCCCTCTGCTTGTGTCTGGCTTTTCCCTTCTCCCAAGATAAAGTACTTGTCTACCCTCAAGCCTGTGACCCTTTCCCACTCCCAACCATAAACTATTTCTTTTGGCCTACTTACATCTGCCATCGTTCACTTGACCATGCTCTCTGATACCAAGGCAGTTTTACTCTCTTCTGTGACGGGGTGGTTACGCATTGGAAGGCTTCCTGCAGGTTTCAACTGTTCGAAACCACCGGCTGCTCCTCAGGAAAAACACAGGGCATTCCACAGGAGTTCTAACCTGCCCTACAGTGCCGCTACGATTCTACATCAACTCAGTGACAGCAAGTCTGCTTTTCTGTTTTTGAGAGTTCAAATGGGAATCGACTCGACTCTAATGAGAGTCTATGTTTGTTTTGAGGATGAAATGAAAGAATATTTGTAAAGACTTTAGAACAATCCATGGCACCTAGAACGGTTTTTAAGGAGCCCTGGTGGTGGGTGTACAGCCCTGGGACCCTGGTATCGGTAAGCATTGGGCTGCTAACAGTTCAGTAGTTCAAACCCACCAGCCGCTCCAGGGGAGAAAGTTGAGGCTGTGTGCTCATAAAGATCTACAGCTTAGGAAACCCTCTACAGCAATGGTTCTCAACCTTCCTCACATCGCGACCCTTTCATACAGTTCCTCAGGTGGTGGTGACACCCCAACCATAAAATTATTTTTGTTGCTACTTCATCACTGTAATTTTGCTCCTGTTATGAATCTGGTGACCCCTGTGAAAGGGTCGTTCGCCCCTCCCCCCAAAGGGGTCGTGACCCACAGGTTGAGAACCACTGCTCTATAGGGCCGCGATGATTTGGGATCGACTTGATGGCAGTAGGTTTTAGTTTTTTCCGTAGATTGTAGTTTGATTTGGGGCAGGTTGCAGTAGTGAAGTGTTTGGTTCCTGACCAAAGGTTGGCAGCATGAACCCACCCAATGCCATTTCTAGTTTCCCAAAGATTATAGGGCCGCCCTGTTCTGTCCTGTGGGGTCACTATGCATCAAAGTCATAATGAAGGTACCTAACAACAAGAACAGTAAGGATTTTTTTTCATTAGCTTTCATCCACATAAACTAAAAAGACTATTAAGATAAATATGAAATACTCAAATCCAAGTAAGTTTGTGCTGACTCTGCCCCCCCCCCTCCCCGCCCGTGTTCAAAACTCATTCAAGTAAAATGAGATTGTGGAGTAAGTCCTCTTCCAGAAGAGAGGGCCAAGCAATATGGACTCACATTTTGGAGCCCTGGTAGCCTATTGCCTGCCACCCACGAGGTCACCAGTTCAAAACCACCAGCTGCTCCTTGGGAAAAATTAGGCTTTCCACTCCTTCCTATGAAGATTTACAGTCTCAGAGACCCAAAGGGGCATTTCTGGTTGCTAGAAATAAGAATTGACGCAGTGGCAGTGAATGTGGCTTGGTTTGGTTTGGTTCAAGTTGTTTACTGAATGGATTTTGTGTAATGATTGTAAAAGAAAAAATGTGGAGCCCTTAGCAAATACCTTCTCGGTTTGTACGACACGTGTAAGTGGCATTTTGTGAGGAAGTTGAAAAGCTGTGAGCACCATGTTCCTTCTCCGTTATGTTTTCAAAGCCACAGGGAAGGACGGTGTTTGCCCTGAAACTGCTAGATAAGTATTGAGTCAGTGGAAAAAGTATTTCTCTCTGTACTTATATCATTATTTGATTTTA